GTCATCGACCGAGGCCTTCGCGGGTTCCCGGGCCACCCCTTTAAAAATTAGGCATATTGATAACCATGATGTTACTTTTTTTATTGTATTGCTTCATATCTTGTTTTGTTGCTTTTGATTGTTTTTTGTATTCTAGGAGTTATTATTTTACCTTCGAAATTGTTTCTTTGTATTGTTGCATATGTATCATTTCTTTGTTTTTTTTTTTTTTGTAAATAAACTCAAATTAAAAAAAAAAATGTTGGGCTGCTAGGTCTTGTATCGTTGTTGATTTTTACGCCTTTTTTTTTTTTTTTTTTTTTTTTGCAACGTTATGTACCGTCCCGGAAAATTATTGTTGGAATGTGGTCAGTGTGTAAAAAGTAATATTGGTACTTGCTTTTTCCCCCTCTCTGTGAAAGTTTAAATATCCGCTGAGATTTTCCCATTTTTTTTTAAAAACTTAAGGAAATTGGGGGGGATGTTTAAAAAGCAGGACACTGTAAGTTTTGAATGTCAGTTTTAAAAATCATTTGTAAATATAATTTGTGGGTTTGGAAACTGTACAAACGAAAATTTGAGTAAAGAGAAACCCTACATCCCTGCCTTTGTGACATGTTTGTGTTTTGTTGCTCTATTAGATTTACCAGGTGCCCTTATTTCGTTGTCATGTGAAATTTTAGGCGTTGTTTTTCCCCCAAACACTCTTGTTGCTGGCGTAGCATTTTGTGAACGGAGCTTAAAACACATGAATTAAAAAAAGCTTAGATAAATAGGTCCCTATTCAATTTAGTTCAGTTTATTCTCTATAATTTTTTAAAATTGGGGTTTAAGGGTTTTGGGTTTTTTGTGGTTTTAATTTTTAAAAAATACAAATTAAGGGGGGGCCAAAAGGACACTTAGCAGGGGCTGGATTTCGAGCAGACTTAGTTTAATTTTTAAACTTAAATCCTTACGGGTTATAGTATTAAGGAAAAGTGATACATCAAAATTTGTGAGTTTAGCAATGTGAATGCTTTTGTTTTGGCACAATACAAGGGGTCTATATTTGAGTATCATGGCAAACTTATGACAGTTATGATTTATTTTTTAAATTAAGATTAGTATTTCGGGTTTTTAAACTGGTGAGTGAGTGAATTTTTAACCCCCAGGTGGTTATATGTAGTTTGTTGTCGGGGTGGTCAGGGAGATAAGATTTTTTAATGTAGTTTTGAAGTGAGAATTGTCTGCAGTTCTAAGTTTTCAGGGAAGTGTTTCCCGATTTTTTTGGCCTTTTAAATACATTGAAAAATTTTTGTAAAGGTTTTGTCGAACCGGGGAATGTCATAAGAGTTTGTGTTGGGGTTATGCCTGTGGGTCCTGTCACAACTATCAAAAAGGTTTTGGGTCGGGGGTTAATTTTGGGAATTTTAAAGGGTTTGTAGATATAGATTGCACAGTAGTAAGGTGGATTTTCTAAACAGGAAGTAATTTAGATCTATGAAGAGGGGGGGGGGGTTGCCATGGAGGGGATTTAGTGTTTATTCTTACTGGGGTTTTTTTGGGGGTTTTTTTTGGTTTTGGGTGTTTTGCTGCAGTTGAACCCAAGCACAGATCATAGGTGAGGTTGGATATATAAGTGAAGGGTATATGTGAAAAGGGCTTTTTGTGGTACGTAGTATCGCATCTTTGAGAGGACCCCCACCGTTTTGGATATTTTTTTTTAGTTTTGGGATATGGGGCTGAAATTTGGGTTTGTCGAGGTTAGGCCAAGGAATTTCCCCTCATTATGTTGGAGTTAAGTGTTGTCGATCTTAATGTTAAGTTTCGAACCCTGGCCCCGCTATCAAACATAATATAGTAGTTTTGCCCGTGTTAAGTGAAGTTTATTGGCGTCATCCCAAATGTACTTTGGCGTCCCTTTTTAACAATGGTGTTTGAGGGTGGAAGATTGGGTGGGAGTGAATAATTTGTCGTCAGCAAAGGAATGGGTTTCAGGTGTTGGGGTATGTTTGGGGATCATTGATGTAAATGAGGGGAAAACAGGGACCAAGGGGAAATTCCCCGCGGAACTCCATATCAATGGCCGTATTTTTGAGGTGTTTCTTTAAAGGTGAAAAATACCCATTAGAAAGGTAGGATTTAAAATTGCAAAGGGATGTCCCCTTATACCCGTGGTCAAATTTGTGGGTGGATGCCGGGTCTACTGTGTCAAACCTTTTCTTAGGTCAATAAAAAATTCCAGCGAGTTTTAATTTTTTTCTGTTTTTAACTCTTACAATAAAAAGGTACTCTTTTTACATCACTTGCCAATGAAGCGCCCCAGTATCACAGGTGAAATTTTCTTCCTTTACACCTGTGCAAGTCCAGGACGCAATAAACAATACTTCGCGCAGTATTTGGGGGCTTGTCAGGGGCCACGGAACATGGGAGGGAAGGAAAAACCCCTTAGGGAAAATTTTTTTCGAATTTTTTTAAAACCCCGGGGGGTTAGCCACTCAGGGTAACCCCAAAGGGTCAGTGCGTCATCGAGGATGTCTTTAATTATTTCCCTTGGGGTCCTCAAATTTTTCCCCCCGGTGCAACCCCCTCCAGGACTAACACCCATTTTCCATTTTCTCTGGTGAAAATGCAACAGGGTAAGGAAACAAATCGAAATGTTTCCATCCGCCGGAATCAACGGGCCCGTATGTGTGAAGGAGAGCCTTTGTCACCCGGCCCGGGCCACCCCAGGCAACAAACATCGTTCCTCCACAACGGTTGATGTCTTTTAAGGGACCCTTTTTTTTTGGGGTTTATAAAATTAAAAGGACGCACTGTATATGAGCTAGACAAGCCCCAAGGATGGAAATTTCCGAGAGAAGCTGGCTGGTGTCGCCACACAGACTCCGAGAAAAATTTTCCTCATTTTTCTGTTGCTACCTTGCAACATTGCATGCTTCTGATGGCAACCCGCCAAAATACTGGAGTAGAGATATGGGGGGAAGTGTAAAAAAAACCCAGTGAGGATAGGGGGGGTGGGGGCAAAAAGGAACACTGTTCAACATCCAGGGTCCCGACTTTTAACATCTTACCAGAAGGGATCAGAAAAAACTGCTGGAACAATTGTGAACCTTCAGGGAAATAGAAGTACTTACCGGTGCCAGATCAACCAGGCGTGATGGGGTATGTGGGGCAGCGGGCCTCCGCAGCAAAGCCTGGTTTTATCAGGGAAAACCAATGAGCCTGACCCGTAGCCGGGCTCGAGAGAGATAAAATCTCGAAACTCTTCAAAAGGGATCAAAGGCAGGAGTGTGTGAAAGTACTTTTTATTATATATATATTTTATATAATTATATATAATAAATATATATATATAATTATATATATATATTATATATATTTATATGTATGGTGTAGTATAAAAGTGGAAGGCCAATTTGCTAAACTTTAGATACCTTTGTTTTAAAACGGCAAAATGTTATCTGTGTCTAAATATATTGTGATGCCCGCGACCAGTGTTATCGTTGCGGTAAATCTGGCATTTCATATACAAATCACCCAGATGTCTGTTGTAAAGAACTTGTCTGTATAATGAATATTTAATATATGTTGCTTTTCTTGACGGATTTCATTCATCTTGACATAAGATCTTCCCTGGATAGGCTTATACGTACGTACAGAAAGAGGTCATGGAATGGCTCATTACTTATTTTTTATGTGGTTAATGCCTTTAAGGGGAAACGAGACTGATATTTACTACATCTGCTAGACCAGCCAAGCTAAGAGGGATGTGTAAACCTGTGGATCATTTTAGTAACCAAAACCTAGTTGACAAGACAGTCAACATGGAAGTCTGCCCTCAGCTGCACTGCAAGGGCAGAACCCTCAAATCCAGTCACATGTGTGTGAACTTTATTGGCCTTGTCTGGGACCGGTCCGAGAGGGCGGTGACCTCCGGAAGCAACTATATGTAACCCTTCCATAGCTCACTTCGAAGCCTTCGGGATGCCAACCACAGTCCTCGACAAACACCCAGGTACCTGTTTACTGCTAGGTAAATGGGGGGCAGCAGGTGTATGGAGACTTGCCCATTCATCTAGCAGTCCTTGGGAACTGAACCCAGGTCTCTTCGGTTGCGAGTCAAGTGCTCTACCATTGTGTATTCATACTGATTATTATTTTATTCATGGAAAGCACTACACCCATAAGTCATTTAGTGGCTGGGGAATGGGAGATATTCATGATTTATCTGAGGAAGGGAAGGAGAGCTCCATTTCCTTGGATTTGTACTAAAGTCTGCTGAAATTTGTCAATGGTTTGAATGGTTACTGTACAGTTCTCTGTCTAGTAATGTAAATTTTTATTAGTTATGAAAGTTTTATTGATAATACAAAAAACTTGATTAAAAATAGCGCTTTGCTCAGGAGTGTTTTATCAAGATCTCATTGTATTGAAAATGATGTAAAATACCAACAAATTGATGATTAAGACACGTGCAATAGATGCCTAGTGTGTAGGCAAAACGTTTCAACAATAAATATACCCAGCTGTTGCACGTCTTAATCATCAAGATCTCCTTGAAGGGAAACGTCGTAATCAAGTCTTAGTGTGCTGTGTCTTGGTGTTACTCTTAGTGTTTCCTTTCATCCTTGTGATTGTGTCACTAACTTGAGTTACTTTTGTCTGCAGGTGTAGCGTGGCTGAAGGCAATCATCATGAAGAGACTAAGATAACTATAACATCTCTTAAGCGGGAGGTTAGTATTGTACTCAATAAGTTGTGATTACAGGACCCATTTCTAACTGGGCCCTTGTTACTTAGTTATAGCTTAAAGATCACAACTGTGCTTCAGCTAACTTGCATTAGTGTTTATTTTATTATCTATTTCGTACTTTTCATTAGTTTTAACACTTGTTCCTACTTCTTGTAATCATGCCTGTACCACACGTTCAGCTCATTGCTACACTTCAGCAACATACACTGCTACCCTTTAACACAACACACTTCTCAATTGCAGAAGATTGTAAGAGGGATGAGTGGAAGGTAGTGACATTTCGAAGAATGCAATACTTCACTCTTATATTCTTGTTCTCATGAGGTATAGTAATACTAATATAATATTATCTTTATTTACTACAATTACATGGTATACAGGCCTAGCTGACATCAATGACGTACTACTATTTAGAAAGCCGCTTGTTATGCTGAGCATTTCTGGCAAATTAGATCAGTTTTGTCCCAGGATGCAACTCGCACCAGTCGACTAACACCAAGGTACCCATTTTATACTGATGGGTGAACACGGACAGCAGGTGTCTTATGGAAACACGTCCCTAATGTTTTCCCGGGGCTTACGGGAGATTCAAACTCCGACCTCAGTGTGAGCTGAGGGTAGCGATCGAGAGGGACCCTTATACGGGAAAAGGACAGAGTTTTTTTAAGGCCCAGGTGTACAGAACTTGGTCATAATTATATATATACGGTATTGCTTGAGTGATAATTGGACACCCTTCCCAAAGGGAAAAATATAGGATTTTCCTTGGAGCTTTTGATTTTTTCTTTCTTTTCTCTCCTCTCCCCCTCTCTCTTCTTTTCTCTCTCTCTCTCTCCCCTTTTTTCCCCCCCCCCCTCCCCTCTCTTTTCTCTCTCCTCTCTTCTCTCTCTCTCCTTTTCTCTCTCCTTCTCTCTTCTCTCTCCTCTCTTCTTTTCTCCCCTCTCTTCTTCTCTCTCTCTTCTCCCTTCTCTCTCTCTCTCTCTCTCCTCCCCTTCTCTCTCTTCTCTTTTCCTTCACACACACACAAACACACACCCAAAACACCACACACACACACACCTACCCCTAAAACCCTACACACACCAAAACCCACACACCTACACCTACACCACACCACACAACACACACAACCACACCACACAACACACACACACCACATAACACACAAACGGGCCTAGTTTTAATCGCATTGCCTGGGACAAAATGGTAACTAACCACAACACACAAACACACACACACAACATTTTCCCTCTGCCCCCAACCCCATATCACAAACCCACCCCAAACTGTCCCCTTTTGGGGGTTCTGACCCCCCCCCCATCAACACAAAACCCCCCTACCCACAGCCCCCCAATAGGCCCCCACCCAAAGGGTTGTCCCCCCAAACCCCCAAATCTTGCAGCCACAATGATAAAAAAAACTAAAGGGTTTGGGACACAAAGCGGAGGGAAAACGAAAAAATGAGGAGTGGGGAAAGAAAGAATAGTAAAAATCCCCAACATCAAGCAGTCCCGAAAAAAAAATCCTGAGCAATCAGACCCCCCAACAGATATCAGATCCTGAGGAAAGGGTAGGGGTAGAGGGGAGGAGGGGGGCACTGCCATAAAACACCAAAGGGGGTTTGAGGAAAGGAAGGGAGGGCATGATTGGAAAAGAGACTCATTGTAGGTACAATTTAGTCCGGAGAACTAAAGTTCATTGGGGTGATGTATAACCCCCCACAGAAAATGCAGGAGGCCAAGAGAGAGTACAAGAAAACAACAGGGGGGGGGACACAGGCTGAGGTGGGGAAGAAGAGTCACTCGAGCAAGCAAAGTTACTGGGAAGGGCGTTTCAACCCCAGGGGGATCGACTGGGGGAAAATGGGGGCCCCATGGGGGTCCCGAAACATGGAGGCCAAGTATGGGGTGGGTATTTAAAACCCCATGCATCAAAAGTCGGGGGCACAACCCGAGAAAGGGGAGGATGGGGGCTACACCCCCACACCACCCCCACACCTACCACACACCACCCCACACACACCCCCACACCACACCACACACCTACCCCACAACACACACACAGTTTTGGGGAATGGTGCCTATGGAAAACACACACACCCCGCCCGAGAATCCTAGTGTTTTTAAGGTGCAGTGACTGCTAACAGTAAAAAGTGGTGTGACATGTCGGGGCCTGAGCTTGTACCCTCTGCAGCCAAAAAACTGCCATCCCCCAGCCCCTTTTAGGCGGGGTAGAGGCAGACCAGAGGCCCAGGTCTCCCTACACCCCGTGAGGGCGGGGGTGGCAGGCTAGGGACACTTGGGCCCAAAAAGGGGAGGGCTTACCCCCTCCCCCGGGAGACAAAGTCTCGAGACACTCCCCCGATAGGGACCAAGGCCGGTCCCACTACTTGGGAAAAAACCCGGGGCCGGGAGAAAACCGGCGAAAAAAAAAAAAAAAAAAAAAAATTTACCATGTCTGAGCAATAAACGAGTGATAACAAAAATTTTATTTGAAAAAGTCTGAGAAAAACCCGAAATTACCTTTCCAAAATTAACCAACTTTTGGTCAAGGCACGGTAGGCCTGAACATGACGTCACGACAATTGTGTGCCATTGTACATTAAAGTGAAGTGTTTAATGTGAAGTGTATACTATCAAAGTGAAAAGTGAAATCCCTGAGGAACGAGGATGTAGAGCCAGTGGTTATAATCATCACGGATGAAAGGGTCTCCAAAAAAGGATTTAGGCTACGCGACGACTACGTCACAGCTCTGCAACTTGCACGACGGCCAGCGCAATATCACCTTATTGTGGTTTGCATGTCGCGGTTGGCTTGGTTTGGGCCTTTCATCCTGTTAGATATGGTCACTCACCCCGAAGCTATTACGAGTTATTATAGTAAGAATATTAGGAAAATAGGAAGTCCTCTTTCAAAAAGGAACAAGGGAAAAGGATAATAACACATAAATTTATCTTAAATCCAAAGGACATAAGCGAAGAGGAAATTTCAGGGAAAAACAAAAACAAGAGGAATAGGAAATTCCCTGGCTTAAAAAGCAACGCTCATTTGCCATTTAAAGGCAAGGAAAATTTTGTATCAATAATTTCGCCAAAAAATTCTGAACCCCAACGAAAAAAAATATTTCATGGTTTTTTGTATTAAATTATTGTAAACAAATTAAAATATATTTTGGGTTAGGCTAAAAAAATTTTTTTGTTTTAATAAGGGTTTTAATTTTCTAAAATTCTTTTTGGGGGGGGAAAATTAAAAATTTTTTCATTAACATTTTGAAAAAAAAATTCTTTTAAACGAAAGAGAAAATTTCAGAAAGGATTTAATTTTTAAAAGATTCTTGTAATTGACCCGTTTTTAAAATTCGGCACGTCAAATAAAAATTAATAAAAATAAAAATATATATTATTTTATAAAATTTATTTAATATATATTAATTTAAAAAAAAATTAATTTAAAAAAAATAAATAAACATGGCAAAAAAATGTAAAAGGATTGAAATTCCAAAAAAATTTCGGACCCAATATTACAAGGATCTTAAAAAAAAAACCTAAAAAAGGGAATAAAGGGTCTGCCCATCAATCAACCCAACAAAAAACAAACCTTCCCGAACCCCCAACTCCTAAAAAAGAAACCCCACACCCCTGGGGCCCCCAAAGACGGTCCCTTACCATCCCTAAAAAAATTCTACCCAGAATAAAATTTTTTTTTGTCCCCGTGTACATTTTTATTAAACTTCCAAAATTTTTTAAATTTTAAATGGTCTTTTTAAATTTCCAAAGGAAATTTTCTTTATTTCAAAAGGGTTTTATGAAAACCCAAATTTTTTTCCCGCACCCTGGTTTTCTTGATACAATTTTCTTCAAATTTTGGAAAAACTTATGGTTAATTCGCAGAAAAAAAGCATTGGAATCTTTTGGGGCCTTCAAATGCTATATTTTGAATCGGGGTTGGGAAATTTTTAAAATTTTGCCATTAAAAAAATTTTATGCAAATTTTCAAGGGAATTTAGAACATCCCAGCATTTTTGGGGGAATTTTTACAAAAGTTTTTTTTTGCTGATAAGATTTTTTAAAACCTTGATATTAAAAGTTTAGAAAAAAGGGAACAACCCTTTTCATGGTAAAGGGAGAACCCAACATCTGTTAGTTGACTAAGGTTGGTTGCCCCTTTTTGGGTGTAAAAAAATTTTTAGCAAATTTTTTTAAATGTTTTAATACTTTTTTGATTATATTTCTAAATTCAAATAAAGTTTTTGAAGGCAAGTATTTTTTTAACGGGAAAAAGGGTTTATTCTCATTTTTAGGCTAATCCAAAATACATCAACAAAGAAACCATTTGTCTATTGGAAAATTGGTTTCAGTCTTGTTTAAAAAACCAGTAATATTATAAACGTGAAAAATTTTTAACCAAAATTTGGTAAAAAAACTTTCTAATCAAAAATTTCATCCAATGAAAATTTTGTTTTTTGTACAGGGACCCCCGCAAAAGATTACCCCCGAATGCGACCTTATGAAAAAAATGAAGGCGTTTTACTGTATGTTTTGGGGGCAAATGGAATAAAAACTTATAAATTTTTATGGGGGGAAAAATTTATCTGGGGAACATCTTCTGAGTAAAAAAAAATTGAAAAGGGGGCCATTTGAAACCATGGTTTTCAATTTAAAAGTTTTTGATAAACTTTTCTCAACGGACTTTGAAACAAAGGGAAGTAACATCAAAACCAACCCCTTAAAACTTTTCATAGGGCTTTTTGTAACTAAAACTTAATTTTTTTTACATTAAAAAAAGAAATTTTTGAAAAGGGGTTAAAATGTTTGACAAACTTGAAATTTATAGAAACAGAACCGTGGATTTAATAAGGGGCCCCACTGATTCCTGGTTGTGGTGTTTATTATACATACATGAAGGGGAAAAATGTCACCTGTTTACTGTGATCTTATTGCGAATGGTATGTGGGACCTGACGAGCTGTTGGAGTGTGAGCAG